ATTAAATGTTATGGTTTGAGTACTGAGTAGTTTTCTGATGTTGAAAGAATTAAAAAAGGTTAACTGGGAAGTATCATTCTGGTATCTCACTACAGACATAGTACAGGCAGCATAATAAAGCACATAAATCTTCTCCCTTTATCTTAATATATAGAAAATCAGAAGTGGAGGCAAATATTTGCTCGTTTTAGAGCAAACAAAACTAAGTATGAAATAAGGAGGCAGTTGTGAGCCTTTCCAAGCTGTGTAACGTAGGATGGTCGTAGGAGAAGTCGAGTGCTGGGTTTCAGAGGAGCATTTGCCACTTGCAAGGGGAGATTCAAGGAGTTCAACAGGGCACTTGGCTTTCCACGTCTGCTGAGGGAATGAATTTTTGTGTAGCATCTCAGCTCGTGCACGTGAAAAGTAAGCTTCCTTTCACCTTTACAGGCTACAGAAATACCAGTGAAGAAATTGCAGGAAAAAGCAGTGATGGACATACGATGCCATGAGAGAGAGTCATTTGACTTTGTCACTAGGAACAGTGTATGAGGCTGTTCATGGGCAAGTGATGGAACTAGGGAAGAGGGACTGGGCACGTGCAACCATCTAATGGAGATTGTTTTCTTTTTGCAGGCTAGCCAGAATTTTAATGCGTGAGCTGGCTTAGATTTTGCTGCTAAACACATTGTTATAGAGTTTGCTTTAATGAAGTATATACAGAGACAGCTTCCCCTGTTTGCTTTTCTTTTCATCCTCATTTTTTCCTCTGTGTCACTATCTTAAGCTCTCTCTTTTACTTTGTCTTCCTCATCTTTTGGTTCTTAGTTATAGGTCTTACTAACTGAAATATTTCAGTGGGTTTTGGACCAGTCCCTTGAGTTTCAGTTTGGAATTCGCGTAGTGCCTTCTGTAAGAGATTAATACTCTGATACCAAGTAGCTTCCCGCGGGATGTTCACAAGACCTGACCGTTAGGGAAATGAGCTGATGAGCACAAAAAAGTGCGAGCAGCTCCAAGAGATGTCATGGCCTCCCCTCTCTGGAGGGTATAGAGGGCACTGGTGGCAAGGCCGGGTTTTGCCACTGTCTGTTCGTGTGTGGTCCCACTGAAGTTCTCTGTGTTAGCCTTTGCGGTCAGAGGAGAAGTTGATGGGTAATGTTATTCTCCCTGGATAGCAGTCCTATGTGCTTGAGCTGTTCTCAGTTTTCCAGGATCGTAGCACTTTTAAAATAATTTTGTCACTTGTATTTTGCCCTTTTAATATGTTTGGGCTTTTTTTAACACTTGCAAAATCATGGGCGTCAACAGATGATTATATTGGGTGCTTTAGAGGAAAGGCAATGAACTGCAAGACTTCAGAGGTATAAAAGCAAGAGCTAAGGATGGTGGCGTGGTTTTTGTTTTGTCAAACCAGGGTTTGGGAGGTACCATCCTCTTGTCAAATCCCACTTTGGGGCTGTCGAGAACTTAAATACCTAGGGAATGCCAGGGCTTAGTTACAAATCTGTTCTAAGACTGCTTTTCTTTTACATAAGCAGATGGAAACTGGTTTCAGGGGAGGGAACTTCTTAAGTTTTGAAGCCCTGAAGGAAATTAATAAATTAATGTATTTTAAAGCCAGAGGAGAGTTGTTATGATCGTCTTGTCTGGCCTCCTTCATAACTTGGGCCAGGGGAAGTCACCTAATAACCCCTTCATGAGCTCGCTCAAGCGTGGTTGAAAACACAGGATTTGACAGAAATTGTTGTTTTACAAATGCGTGGGGGAGGCGGGTAGAGCATGTGACTAATTTCCCTGCGCATAAAAGGTCCAACCTGTGTTAATCCAAACTGCAAAGTGAATTTACAAAAATAATTCTTCACTAAGGCTTTAGGTTTTATGCCAGTGTAGGAGTAATACAGAATGCAGGCTTAAGACTTCTCTTGGAATTAAAAGTCAGTTAATTCCGGAATGTGCTGATTGTGTTCCTGCTGTAGCCACTTAATAAGGGAACAGAAAATGTCAGTATTTTGTTAAAACGAAGAGCTCTGAATCCTCTTTAGGAAAAGCTGAGGCATGCACATAACATTGTAATAGCTCTAACAGTAACAAGGCACACAAGAAGATCATTAATGGATTTTTTTTTTTTTTTTTTAAGCAGCTAACAAAATTTTGTCTTTAGAGCAGGGAGAGAAATGTGGCAAAACTGATCAAAGAAAATAGCATCTCATTGATAATACACATGCTGCAGTACTTCCCACAGTTGGGAGACCGTAGTATTTAACAACGGTGACCTAGATTGGAGGAGACAATAAAAGCTGTTGCGGTGAACAGCAGATTGACTGCCATTCTCATCTGGGTAATAAACGGCTGAAATATGGACAATATATGAAAGTTTACTAATGTAGCTTGCATAAAGACCTATACTTTTGGAGGAATTGTCTCTGTAGCAAATTTAGTTTGAACTATAGCTTGCATCTGACAGATGTTTATGTGCTCCTTTACAAAGATACCTATTACTTTATTCAAGGATCTATGAGCCTGCGAGAGTATGACCTGATTAGGTTTTAAAGTAAATCAATATGTGAACCTGTCCAAAAATAGACATGCATTTATTTTAAAAAATATTACTTAATGGGATAGCCTCAAGGGGATAGAGCTTTTCTGGAGAGTTTCAAGTGAGATAGCAGTCATATGCTGTTATTTTAAAAAAATCCACTGCCATTCAGATGCCACTATTTCAGCCATCCTGTTGAAAGTAGCTGACAACAGGAGATGACATTCTTGATGCTTTGTACCCACAACAGTCTTCTAAGACATTAAAACTTGCTTAACTCTTGACCCTGGGGGGTATTTTGTATTTCTTTTTAATGCTTTCTTTGGTTTGGTTTGGTTTTTTTTAATAAATGGACCTATTATAAATGTTTTGTTAAGTGGTTCACGTTAGTGCTTCTTGTAAAATTCTGCAGTTAACCTTTAGGTAAATATAAATCCAAATTCTAGAAAAATAAACTGTCAATCCAGCTGTAACTTGAGAGACGCTTTAAGTAAGTGCCATTGAGCTGTAAAGACTGATGCATCCCTACTGTGCTGTAAAACTAAATATTATTAAATTGGGTTGTGTGCAGGGGGAGGGGAAGGAGGTGGGGGTTGCGAGGGACATCTGTTCTTTGCAGCGCTTTTCTCCTGGTTTGCTGGGGGGATTTGAAGCGTAAGCGAAGAGCGATTCTGTTGACGGTAGGGTGAGGTGGTTCCCTCGTGAATGCGTTGGGTCTGTGCCGGGGCCCAGCGGTCACTGCACATGGTGTCCCACCGTGACCGCGTCTAGGGGAGAGACATCTCCCTGTCCGTGGACCTGGCCAAAGAGCCCTTCAGATCCTGAAAGACTGTCAGGTTTGGGGTGGTTATCTTAGTCCTTTCCTATCTGGGATCAACCTTTGTTTGCTTTGTCCTTTTCGGATGTTTTCGTAACTAAGAACATTGATCAAAATGCTTTTAGTTTATTTAGGTGATCCAAGAAGGTGTATTTAGCAACTTTGATTTGTGAGTTGTTTTATTTTTGCTCCTTTTTGCTATGCGGCATGCATTCAGACTCCATAGAGGAGGAACAAGGAATGTTGTATTTCAAAATCAGTTCAGCAGATTTTGAAAAGCTATCTTTGAATATTCTATAATACACATACAGATTTGAAGAGCTTATTAAAGAAAGCCCCTGACACACTTCAGCAATATTAAATCACTTCAGACGGTGCATGGCAGTGTAATGTTACTGAAGCATTTTAAAATGTTGAAAGAGCCTGGATTTGAAAGTACTAGTGGCTTCACAGCCCTTAGTGTGAAAAGTGATTTAAACTGTCAAAATTATTTCAATGTTTGCAGTGTATTACTTTCTTAAATGACAGAGAAGGGACGTTAGTAAATAACTATAACTGTAGTTAATCTCTGGCCAGCTAACCAGCTGATATGCTGGGTTAATTTCCTTATTAAATGCCTATTTAATAACTGGGCAGCTGTTCAGACAGGCCAGATGGACTTCACTGTAATTGTGCTAATAATGAGAACTTTCTCACAAAAAGAAAGGGTAGTAAGAAGGTGCATTTAGTGAGGGAACATCATGACAAATGGCTCCAGGACAATATGGTCCTCTGCTCCCAACAGACTGGCTGAAGTAGGTAGCTCATCCTTCAAAGCAAGAAGGACCAGCCGTAAGAGTTGGCGTAATGGTTTATTCTTTGCTTGGTTGTTTATTCTTTGTGTATTCTTTGCCTCCGCCGCCCGTACGTCCTCTGCACTGGGGGTTCACAGCTGGTGCATTTGTGTGTCTCCCCAACAAATACATGTTATCTAAAGCTGTAGCTTGCTCCCTAAATGTTAGCTTTTTACCCCCCTATCCGTCATGTATTTTGTAGGCTTAATGAATTGTATTTTCAGGGTTCCTTGCAAGAAAAATTACTAGTTGGGTGTTAGGAATTACAGCTTTGTTTACGTGGAGGCAGTTTCTTTTATACTGGAAACATTATCATAAGCAAGAGGAGTGGCAAAGTATGATGATCTCAGTATGAGTAATGAATATCTTTTTCATTTGTCTTTGTTCAAATAGGAGAATGAAAGCATGGAAAGAGCACTGAAAGAGCATTTGAGCAGTAAAAATCTGAACTTCCTATCTGACAATATGTTTTTACCTTGGAATTGTTGCGTTTAAGAATTGAGTCCTTGCAGAACTTTTTGCTTTTGGTGACGTTTCCAACTGCTTCCCAGATCGTAGTCTTTGCCCTCCAGCTGCTAGTCCAGAAGTACAGGTCTTCTGTACACCTTGTGTGATGTCTCTAGCCTGTGAAGACATCTCAGATAAGCCAAAACATCTCAAAACAGGACTAGATGACTGTTTAAGCATCTAAAATTGTGGGCGATTGACTCAGTAGATGGAGAACTTCGTATGTTTCTGCCTCAGCAAGCTTGCAATGGTTTGCTTTTGCTTTTTTTTTTTTTAAATGTTTTAAATTCAGAAAATGATCATTACTTTTTGTTTCCTTCTTTAACAGCACTCAAAAGGAGTGAATGAGATGAACTGTTTGGGTTATAGTATCTGAAAGGCTAAATTATTCTCTTGGAGAGACGTTCTAAATGAGCCTGACCGAGATCCTGGATCTGTGTGAAGAGGACTAAGGATATAGGATGTCAACTGAGACAGAACTTCAAGTGGCTGTTAAAACCAGCACAAAGAAAGACTCCAAAAAGAAAGGTAGTGACTCATTTCTCTTTATTCGTATGTATTTTGTACTTTAATCAGCTCCTATATCAGCCGCCTTTTATGCATCTGTGATTCTTCTGTTATCTATGTGCTCAGTGAAAGTAAAATTTGTTAAGCCCAGTGGAAGCCTGGTAGGGGAACGTGGGATTTGATTATTTTATTGAATTATATTTAAAATGTAAGAAAGAATTTACATATTACAGTTCATTAATTTTTACACTATATGTATATTGCAATTGTTTCACAAATGGAAATACAATTTTAAAAATTACTCTTAGCAAAAGGTAACTTTTTCTATGTTGATAAATAAATTTTCTTCTAAAGGCTTTGTTTCTACTTTTTGAACTAGCTAGAGCTTAAATGTACTTTCTGTTACTGGAGGTTGAATCTTACACTTTGTGAAGTTACAGAGAACTCAATGGCAATCTATAGAGCGATCAGTTGTAATCTGGTAAAGGAAATAGAAACAAGGAGGTGGAAAAACTCAAAATTAAGAAGCAGCTATGAATAAATGGGTGGTTGGATAAGTTCATATTTGTATTTACAATTTTGCATCAGATTGTAGGGCAGTTCTTTAGACTGATAAGCATGAGAATGGGACAATATGAATTTGGTGCTAGGAGTACTGAAAGATTTTTGGTAGGGATTTTTATCTTTAGATTTTTATTAGTATTTTTATTGCTTAGGGTTTTAAGTGCTGATGAACTTGAAGGCCAAGACCTTGAATTCTAGTGGTAATTCATGTTGTTCTGTGTAGCCGCCTTTGATTTCTTTTTTAAAAACCTATACAGATAATGAAATTGAGATTGAAAACAGATTTAATATGAATTGCTGAAATAAAAAAGTAAAACAAAACCAAAAAATCATACTTAATAGTTTTAATACTTGATGCAGCAAGATTTGAACTTCACGTGAGCTTTTCAGTTTGTCATTCTGTTTCTTTTTGAGGGTGAAAATTTAGCCATTTGAGGATTTTTGACTTTTTTTTTAAGACAAAAAAAATTTCTCATCTTTGCTCATGTATGTGTGTGTTGCAACTTTTACTCATCTTAGATAACTTGTTCAACTTCTGGACAGCTATACTTTTTACCGCAGCGATTCTACCAAATCAATAATTAAGGCATTGTCTTTGCTATAACTTATGTATCGGAAATCTTTATATTAGCATTTTCAAAAAGAGACACAGCAATTAAAAAATTTGCAATGTTTGTTTGGGAAGATGGTTTAGAATCCTTATGACTACTAACACAGGCCTAAACTCAGAAGGAAAAAGTTATTCATGTAAGATAAAAAAAAGCTGTAGTTAGGAAAGGCAAAAATAGGAGAACTTTGATGTAAATGAGAACGTGATCTGAGAGAGATGTTCGAGCCAAGTAAAGAAAGCAAAGATGATTTGGTTGTATGATCATTCAATATTTTTGGGCAGGCAGGAAATTTAAAAAATGTCAGTTCTTTGCAATACAGCTAACATCTTTCTGATGTGTGTCTCCTATCTTATTTCTTCTGCTGACGGGTGAAACTTTTGAGAACAGCGAACAACTGTTTTAGGAACTTGAGGTTTATGTTAATAAAATATTCAGCATCCGACTTCTAAAAACATTTTCATAAATCATAATAACTGAATGCTTCTCTGCACAAAATCTGATTCTATCTCCCAAATGGGAATTCTGAGAATTACCTTTGCTGCTGAGAAGAAGAATAAAATATGTTCTGTGGCAGCCATCAGAGCTCCCTGCAGCATATACAAGTATCTGAAGAACTGGAAGGGACAGTGTACGGCAGTAGCACATCTCCAGAATTAATCCGTATTGTACGTGCAAGTCTGAGTGCATCTGATCACAGCCAGCCATCCAAAGGCCTTGTGGTACAGTGGATGCTTTATACAGACAAGGTATACAATTCAGATAGTGTTTGCTATTCAAATCCTACACAATGAAAGTTAAAAGAAACTTGGTGTGCTCATTTGCTTGTCATTGAATTGTATGTGTTTGTGTATATTTCAACAGATGCGCCCTCCTCTCTATAGTGTGAATGACGGACGTGTGAAAAACAGCGAATTTTTGTTTTTCTTCTTTTTTCCCCCAAGTTCATTAACTGTGAGCAGTGATAGGTAGCAAGTACAAATGTGAAGTTTCTAATGTTACTAACCAGTGAGTCTGATGATTCAATGGAACTGAGTATTCCCAAGAAATGAGTCTTTGCTTTATCAACAGAAATCAGCTCTAGTTTATTTCCAGTGAATCAGGTTTTATTGTACTTCTGCAAGAGCCACGCAACCGTTTCCATCCAGAGCAGAGAAGGGCCTCGTTTGCTGTATTATCTACTCTTCTGGTAGTTCTGCCATCTGCAGCTCACAGCACTGTGCTGAGAAAGAGCAGTAAGTTTGGTAATAGCTTCCTAACGGAATGTCTGTCCCACAGATGTACCCCACGCTGAAGATCTGGGGTGACTGGAAGGGGATGAGGATCAGTATGGAGGTCGAGTGCAGGGCAGGGTTCTTTCCTGATCTCAGCATAAGTCTTCTGTGTAGTCTTTAGCTCTTTCTCTGTCTGTATAAGGATATAATAAGGTAGTGTTTCTTACTTGAAATGTTGAAATAATACAAAGCTCAATTCCTAAGATTTGTACGGTATGTGAATATAAACCATGATAAAATGTTAGATAAATGCAAGCTGCTCTTATTGAAATATAATGACCAAAAAGAAAATGATGATGATTCAGATGATGCAACTTGTACGTTTGTGGTATAGTGGCTACCTTAACCAACAGTTAAAGGCACTGTAACATCATTAGTTAAGCAAACAATTTAATAACCTGGACGGGTTAGAGGAAAAGTCCAGGAGGAGTCGTATGGTATTCAGTGGGTGCAAATGCAAAGTCCTACTGCTGGGATGGACTAATTCCCTGCAGCGGGGTGGGATGTGTGTTTGAAGTTGTTTTGTGGTTTCTTATAACTGCTTTTAGGCTCTGTTGCATAGATTACTGATTTTTGGGTGACAGGCAAATAGTTTGATTTCTGCTGCAGATGGGGCAAATGACATTAATGCCTCTGCAAAATTACAGGTTTTACCGAATATTTTTTTTTATGCGTTGGGAACACTTACCTCTTTTTGCAGTTGTATGCAAAGCAATTCTCTTACAAGAGATTGTTAAAACATTGCTCATTGTTAAAACTCTTCAGGCTCTCTCCGTTGTCATCTGAGCTGGTTTGTTAAGACAATGTTCTATTCCAACTCTAAAGGATTATTACTACAGTTAGGACAAGAACTTACATACAAAATCCTCTCAGAAGCTGTTGTTTAAGTAGAATCGCAGCTGCAAAACTCTAATGTGCTATAAGTAAGTTCAATATTAACATGATAATATCAAATTGTAATTTTGTATGTTAACATTATCACCCTGGATAATCTTAAAAATAGGCTTTTAAAAAATCAAGGGCTAGATTTGCCTTTTATTCAGTCGATATTGATCTGATGGATCCAGAATTTGATGGGCTCTAGAAACGCTACCTAGTCCCTACTCCCAGCAGAAGGTAGGAGTTTTAACTGACTTGAAGACCCAGTTATGAAAATGGAGGTGAGCCAAGTACCTCCCTTCCTCTCCAGCTGGTCACTTTTTGCTCCACGTACTATGAAGATGCTTACCAATTGAGGACCTGTGTTTCACGCTGACCTCCACAGCCCTCCTTTCTACACTTTATTCCGTTTTATGAGCTTACAGCACTCTAGGTGTTATTAGAGGAGATTATATTTCTGCCATCCCCCACCTCCAGCCCTAATCTTCATGCCACTCTTGGCTGATATCTACTAGTAGCTGTGTTGTAATTACCTTTTTTGAGAACTTGCGCAAATTTTAAAAGACATTCTGAAGAGGTTTCATATTGCTCTCTAAAAGGAAATATGCAAAACTCTCAGGAGACTTAGAAAGCTCTATTCTAGGACTTTTTTGGTGAATTTTTTTTTCCTGAGTTTGCCAAAAGTCATGTGTTTTTTAAGAAGCATTTAGAGAATTAATGATTCCAATAATGCTCTTAAAGGCTGATTTTATTTCATTTGTTTATGTCATCTGGTTCATTGAGAGGTGAATAAAAATTATGTGTTTGTACATAGGATAGGAAATTAGAAATTTTTTATTAGCCAAAGTTGTTAGAAACATAAACCATGTTTGTCTTGTAGTACATGGGGGAAAAGCCATTTTATAAGTGTGTATGGATTACTGAATCAAATTGAAAACATTTACTTGAGCCTATCAGAATTAAAATTTATTTAGAAACCTCTTTAGGGGGAAATGTGTTACATTGATGTTGAATCCACGCTGTTAACTGCCTTGGAAAATCCCTTCTTGCAAAATTAACTTAAACAGGAAAACTGAGATGGGAGATCAGTAAAGAAGTGAGCCAGGCTGCCAAATTTGAATGCAGCTCTGCATCTGCTTGGAGGAGGCCAAAAGACTTTTCTAGGGGTTTGTTTTCTTCCTCTTGAACTTAAAATCTGTAATTATTCTAGTTGAAGCTTAGGATTTTTTTTGCAAAATCATCTCTCATTATATGCCCTACAGTAAGACTCTTGAGTCAATTTTCAAAATGACAGGGACTTTTAAAAAAGACACAGAGAGGAACTCAGGCATGTTGACAATCAGCATAATAATCTTTGATGCTAAGGATCCCCACGGGTGAAATTCCCTTATTTAATAGGTTTCCACCGCAATGCGTGCGAAGCACGTGGCATCTGGAAACAGATTTCACAGTAGGCAGGCCGCCAAGCCAGGGATTGCTGTTAAGTAGCCAGTAGGAACACGAAATTTAGAGGGGGTGTGATGTACTATGTCTCTACTGTAGCTAGATGTCTTCATATAGCTGTGAGCTGGGCACTTTCTTTTGGCTGAATGAATAAACAAGTTCTGAAGCTGTGCTTGAGGAGGGAAAGCGAGAGCGGACTCCGCTCAGTGGGCTGTTTAATGTCAGGTAAGGAATTACCCTGCTTGCACCAGCA